GGATGTGAAAGGTATTCACGCTCTCGATCATTAGTCTCAACAACTTGTTAGGTCAGGTTCAGTGCAGCGCTACCTCATCGAAACACCCTATCTGAAGTACTTCCAACCAGCAAAAGTTTAATAAAGCGAACGTTCACCTCTAACAAGCCGTAATATCATTGAATGAAGTTCAATCTACACTAGTGTTTATAGGGCATCCCGACTTTTGGAGTTCGACCCCGGAATTCCCATTATGAAAAATCCAGAAATTTCGGCACGCAACGCAACACGCGTTCCATTTTGGTACCCTACTTACTTTTAATCACAGATCAGTAATTCCCAGTGTACATTTGTTTTATTCATATTCTACAATGCGAAGTGCTATTGATGCTTTGTTTCCAGATTTTAAGTCATTATGAGGTATGCGGTCTGTTGCGTAAACTGTTTTCAAGTCAACTATGAATGCATTGATTCAAAAAGAAGAACGTGACCGGTCAATCTGTATAAAGACATTTCGTATAACGGACAGCTTGTCTAAAGACACATTGTCTAACGAACAGTTCGTCTAATGCAGTGCCTAATGGGCGTGTCATATTGTTAAATGCAACCGTTCAGAAGAGGGTGGGAATGCTCATCTCGTCGCTATCATTAGAACACCTCTACATATCGAAGTTCAAGATTTTGATGGTTTCAATTAAAGTCAACTTTTGACCAATGCAGTTACCAAGAGCAGTAAAGCACATCTCCCGCGAAATATCATAGAACTCCGCGAATTTCAGATTAAATACTTTTATAATATTTATTGATAATAACACACTCGCATCACGCATATCGATATTAATAGCTATAATAATAAGAATAAATAATAAGAACAATAATGAATGACAATAACAGTAAATAATAATGAGAATAAACAACAATACTAGGAATAATAGTTATAACAAATAACAATAATATTGATGATAAATCATAATGGACGATTGTTGCTACTTTACAATTGTCATTGGTGTTGTTATCATCATTACTGCTATTGCTGTCATTATTACTACTATTATTGTTGTTTTTGTTTATTTTTTTTGTTGTTATTATCGTTACAGGGTGTCCCAAAATATGCATACACAGTGCAAGTAATTGTCAACTAGACGTTTATTATGATTTGTACTTCAACTGCGTTTTCATATTTCCAATATCAATTCTGTATCTTACATTCAGTACGTTGCAAGTCCATGTTATCGTTAATTTGTATCACTTAAAACATTCATATTCAAACAGATAATAACCAGATTTACAAATATCACTCTCATACAACATTACAGGCAACTGAAATCAAAATTAATTACTTCAACAAAAAAAGTAATTACAGCTGATAAAGATAAACTAGACGCGTTGTTTGCTCTTGGTAACTGCATTGGTCAAAACTTGGCTTTAACTGAAACCATCAAAATCTTGAACTTCGATATGTAGAGGTGTTCTAATGATAGCGACGAGATGAGCATTCCCAACATGTTCTGAACGGTTGCGTTTAACAATAAGGCACGCCCGTTAGGCACTGCATTAGACGAACTGTCCGTTAGACAATGTGCCTTTAGACAACATGTCGTTAGACGAAATGTCTGTAGACAGATTGACCGGGTACCAAGACGAATGTGTTGATCACATGACATTTCAGTACCACTGAAGTTGCTGAATTCCAGGATAAAAAACCTATCCGAGATTGAAGAAAGGTTAGGAATTTTTTAGACATTAATCTGAATGTCAGCTCATCTCTTGCAAAACATAATAAGGTTTCAGTTCAGTCAGGCTCGTCGTATAGCTACAGCCGCGCTTTGAAAGCTGTTACATGTCCTACGGAGAGCGAACTGAGGAACTACGTCAGTTATCATTATGAAGTCAGTTAGTTGCAATGACAAGGCGTTCAAGTGCTTGATGATAGACTACATTTAACATTGCAATGGTACCGTAATTCATCATGTTTGATCGTGACAAACACCGAAAACAGCCATTTGATTATGGAGATTCATAGGGGAGTCAACTGAAAAGTTGGGACAATGCATAAGGATATGAAAATATAGACTGGAGTGAAGTATGAGGATATGGAACTATCCATTAACGTTTAAATTTGGAAAGCATAGCTAAACGTTAAAGAGCACCACCTCGATTCGTGTTCACAAGTAGATGAAGCGAGTGTTATTTGCTGACTCTATCTTTTATCCCAAAAAAACTGAATTTCAATTCATTCATGCAATTCATACTTAATTCGGATTTAAAATTTTCAATTGTACGTCACAGCTAGTCTGTTCAATATCGGACTAGCAAGAATTTTTACTGGTACAAACAACAAATGCACTCAAAGCTTTCTAGGATCTCAAACATTCGGCGCAAACAAAGCCGTATTTAGATACGAAACAGGTAGTCTGAATTTGCTTTATAGCTCTTTTAGGATGGCTGTTGTTGTGTGATATATCAAAGGAATGTTGTGTTCAGGGCAGCATGTTTTACGCTGCACCTGAAACGAAGATAAATTTTCTGAATAAATCTGATGATCCATAAATTCGTTGCATTTCTTGGTGTCCAGCATTTTTTAAACAAGAAGTTCACAAGTTCTTCCTCAGAATTAATTTCATTCATTTCTTTATTCTTCAAGATTTCAATCTTCTCACAACAAACGACGACATTTGATTCCATTTAATTTCTTTATCTGTGTGTCACATTTTCCATGTCACGGAAAGTATAAGTGATTCTGGCGTTCGATGCTATGTGAAATATTTCTCTCTAAAGCAATTCATTGAACAATTTCCAACCACTAGAAAAGTTCAATTCGTACAACATTCGCGTTTTATACATTTTCAGATTGCAGCACACGGAGATGGATCACGGGGATGGTNTACCGAGGTGATTGCAATACATTTCTCATTTCATTTGTTTTCTTCACCGAACAGATCGTGCAGTAATCTTGCATTTGGAATATTTCACTGATTGCGATCATAACCAACCGAAGCAGAGAATTTGGTTCCCTACCTTTCGCAGATGTACACATACGTCCGTCATGCTCACAAGAACGATGAGTTTCAATCATTTTCAGACTGTGGAACGTCATCGTCTCAACACTCGATTAGTTCAAACTTGTCGCGTAAGCCCGCTGTTTCCAAATTGTAATTGCTTACCAATGAGATTTTCTGTTTTCAGCTGTTACTGGATTTTAAGTCCGGATCATTCAGTTCGAAATCAGTTTCAACAATTCTGCTCTATTTATACGACATGCGTGTATTTGTATTATGTTGCTGCATAGTGAAAGTGTTTCGAAAAAAGCACTTTTTAACGTATTTTATAGCCTCTGAGATGGGTTGTAACTGATGCGAATAAAATCAAAAGATTATAATGGAGAGGAAGAGGAACGAGTCGAGCGAGTAGCGTTCATACGAAGTCGTACCAGTTACATCGGCATTTGCCGTTTCATTTGCCTCTTTGATCTGAAACTAGCAACTGCATCAATCTGTTCACGTAGCTGGAAGGACATTGACAAAGACATTTCAGGGCATTATCGCAAAGTGCTCAAAGTTGTAGCAGATCGGAAGCAGGTCAAAACAGTAACATTCGTTCTTCCGTTACAGTAGTGCACTTAATGAATCTTTTCTGAATCNACTTTTGATGTGACTATTTGAATAAAGCAAACCATTCCGAGAAGTGCGAAAAAATGAACAATGTTGCTGTGAACTCACAAATATAGATCAACGTCCAAATCGTAGAACACCAGGCATGGCTCTCTTACCGAAACGCAACACACCTGGCATGTCAGATCTCTTACCAAATCGAAGCACACCAGGCACGTCACCACGTTTTCCAAATCTCAGAACACCTCAACAAAAATAATTGATGGAGTTGGAATCAGAAGGGGTCACATTTTAATTATTTCAAATGCGTACTAGAAATGGGTTCTCAAAATATGTCATTACAGCAGGCAATTATAATGTTATCAATAGTTGCTCCTAATGAACGCAATACCTGAGTCATATTGAATGAGGCATTCAAAAGCACTGTTTCAGTTTCAAAAGATCAACAGATGTCAGCACAGCATCTGACGATTGCAAATAAGAATTGCTAAACAGAACATCAGATGAGATAGATCTCTGTTTTTAGTTAGCTGCTGACACAGCCAGAGTTCTGTTCAAACCGTTGAACTGAATTGATAACCTGGAACAGCCTTCTTCTCGTTGTCTCGTTTACCGAATCTTAAAACGCCTGGCATTCCTCGTTTCCCGAAGCGTAACACGCCTGGTATAGATGCCTCATCGCCAAATCCTTAAAATTTCGGAGATGCTTAACGACCTTGATTGTGGATCACACAAATTGCAACTCATTCCGCATGCGTGATTACTTAATGCTTGCTGCTGGCATGCATGGACGAGATTCGCAGAGCTGATATGGCTGAACGTTTTGCTTTCCAAACGACGTGAATATGCACAATCGAATGTATATGAGGACACTGTGCTCCTAGGAGTGATTATAATGACAATTCCGAATGCCAACACAATTGCTTTGTTCTCGAAAAGTATTCTTTGGAATCGGTCAGCTTAATACGTTGCATAGCGTCAATTAAGTTCGTCTTGAGTGTTCCACGAAATTATTTTTATTTTACAAGGTGCCCAAGTTTAAAGTGAAGTTGACGGAATCGTTCCAAGATTCGACCGCGCCTCTCCGTTCAAAAATTCTAGGTGAGTTCGAATGATATTATCGAATCTTTTCATGATGGACTACTCATGTCTTCAAATTCGTCAGGGGTGAGATATTTTGAATTTATTTTGCTTCGCACCTTATAAAGATTCGAGTAACTCTCAGAGAGGGTATATTCATCATTATTGAATTAGTTTTGAATAACGACCGTTATTCCCTTGTGTTATCTGTTTCACGCGTTTTGAATATAATTAAATTTTTGTTACATTTGTCCCTGAAAAAGATAGACAATGAGTGTTGCTGTGTTGCATTTGTACGAAAACTGTTTAGATCAACGGGAATGAGGAAAGTTTACGAAGAACGGCGTTGTTTCTTTTCTTCCTTTGAGAATTCTTTTCAGCTTTAGAAAAAGTAGGCGAGCTGAGAAAAAGCTGATGAATTTTGTTTGATTGGAACCTATGTAAACCTCTTCACTGAAACCAGTCTCACAATGCTTATGATCCCATGGGAAACTACTCGTCACGGATTGCTCATGTATGTTGTCATTATACTTGGAGAAAAGACATGCCACTGAATTGCTCCTATCGTATTTGAACGCTACTCAACCAACTATTTAGTGAATTCGGATAAATAATCGAGATAAATGTTGCAATTTGAACGAATCAATCCAAAAAGACATAATTCTCCATCTGGTCCTTTCAATATTTAATTCGATTTGAACCTGACTTGTTTTCAACTGAAACAACTTTTCAACCGAAATTAATATCAACGCTTCGAAGTATGAAACAATTAAAGAACCAGTATTGCTTGCCAAAATACGCTCATTTTTATGAGCTCCTCCTCCCTCCATTGCATCATTACAACTGAGAGCTCACATTAGAACTGTTCAACCAGATGTGCTTTTTTTGCATTGCTGTTGAAATTTCAAAGGATTCCACACGTTCAAGACAATGCTCCCGTAAATGCTGTGAAGTGGTAATACTCCGATGAAAAGAAACACTGGAAGTGATAGTTTGTTCAGTGCACGTAAAAAGTTTGCGAATCTCACCAATAGCACGTACCTCTCTTCTCTGCCGCGTTTCCGGCCAAGCTTTCGGCATCCACACCTTCCTGATCCGGTGAATACCTTCCGAGCTTTGTGAACGCTATTTGGTAAGGATCATCATCACGGTCCACGACTGCTGAATCCGGATAATATGAAAGAACTGAAAATTTTCATAGCACAACAGATGTTAATCACGTTGAGCAGCCAATTTTTAAAAACAACTGATTATTCTTGGAAT